TTTGGCTATTGCTACAAATATACCCCAGTGACTTAAGACTGGTTTTGTGGTCCAGGGTCACATATCATTACTGCGTACCATGGTCACAGAGCAAACATCACACAAAACCATTGTACAGTGTCAGGTTCAAATGCACTTTGAAAGGACAAAACTAACCGTAACATGTACTGAGCACATGATCTTATGGACCCCAATCTTTTGAACAGTGGTGTATGTATTTTTATGCTTATTAGGGTATCAAGCTGTAAGGTTAGCAACATGTTAACTGATTAAGCAAAGTTAAAAGCCTTTATTAATACCAACAGTGGCTGCTTTGTGTATGGGGTCAGAAGGCGAAACATAAAGCCAGAGAAACTCACAAATTATCCGGGCTAATTCAATTTTGTTTCATTGAAAGCATATGCACATCCAGGACCTTGATGACAGTTCAGCCTACTCTGTAAAACAGAAAGGATCTGCAGTTAAAATAGAAGTGGCGAATAGTTAGATGGAGACATTGTTTAAGAGTCTCTCAGGTATGTTCTTAATTTAGTTTTTCCTTATTGAATGTTGCACCTCACATTACAGAATTAAAATAGCTTGCGACTGTCCTTTTATGTCCACTGTACAATGCTGTTCAAGTTTGGGGTCAGTTGGGGTCACTTTTCAGCTAGGATGCATTAAATTGCTCAAATGTACCAAATGCACTGTTTTACTGTATTTTTGATTAAATAAATGCAGCCTTGGTGAGCATAATAGACATATAAATTGACTTTGAGATTCTTTGAGATATTATTTGGATAACTATATAATGAAGTTATTACAGGATGAATGTAACACTAAGAGACCACATTAAAGTAAATTAATTTGCAGAATAGACGAGGACCCATACGACACTATTGAACTACTGAATGACTCAACTGACTTTAAGAACAATGGTTAACAAAAGATTGTCACAGAGAATTGGATTGGGCAGAACAACACTAAATGACAATACAGTTTCTCTACCTATATTACCTATGATCTTACAGAAATCATTTACACACAAAAATGCAATTTCATTTTCAACATTTACTCACCCTCATGTTGTCTCAAACGCTGATGTCACTGATGCCAATCATCATTTCTTTCTCACATAAAACTACTGTATGGTTTTAGAAGATTTGGAATATAGTACATAAGTCATATCAGTACCTTTATTGTCACTTTTAGTAATTTCTGAAGCTTTACAGCCATTGGTAACCATTTTTAGACAAAAGAATAGCATCAAACACTTCTTCTGCATTATGTTAAAGAAAGAAAATCAAGTGGTTCGGAACTATGAGAGGTTAGTAAACTTTCATTTTTGGGTCAATTATCACTTTCAGTCATCTGTCCTCTATACTGTATACTCTAAAAATAACTTTAATAACTGAATCCAAGAGATGCATTTTTAAGAAAACACCTTATTGTGTATCTACACATCTACAGTACAGTACATGTAAATTTCTAATTAGACCATTGATAATTTATAGATCATTTTTATTTTTATCCAGCATGGAAAAGTTATGGTGGCTGAACAGTAATCTCCTGTTTCCATTTCATTAAGTGTGCCTGTAGGCACACAACAGCAGCAACCTGTCCAAACTGTTTATAAGTCAAGCTAACCTATTTCTTTCTCAAGCTCAAGCAAGAAAGAGATATAATGATCCTGAACAGAACAAAGTGATGTGGCCTAGAGAGACCCTTTTGTCTCATTTTGAGGTACTTTTGAGAGAACAGGAGAGATAAAGTTTACTCTCCTTTGTATCGGTAAACTCACTTTTTAGAGAACTTGACAGATGAACAATATTCCTGTAAGTCATGGATTTTTCATACTCTCTCTTTCTGAGTTGCTTACGTTACAGGTTTTATTTTACTTTAGGCCATTTTTGTTACTTGTATTTGTGCGTACCCAAATCAAATATAAGTTGCTTGTTTATACTGACGCGTATGTTTACATTGGACTTAAAGGAACAATTCACTCAAGAATTGTCATAAGTTACTAACCCTCATGTCATTCAATTGTTCTTCTATATTTTGCGTAATGTTTACAGTGCTCTTTAACACACAACAAAAAGTGTGTGATGATTTATACGCCAAAAAAGCACCATAAAATTAGTTCACACACCCCATTTGCTATATTCCAAATGCACTCAAGCAATATGACAGAGGTATGTGAGGAACAGACCAAAATTTAAGTAATTCATTTTGCTAACTATACCTAGCCAAACAAAGCCAATGAATCAAGCCCCATTCACACAAAGCTATATTAGCACCAACAGATGATAATGTCTTGTTTATTATAAGCACATGCTGCAGTTATGTCGTCTGCCACTTTAAATACTCGAGCTCTCTAAAGTTGGATGGATTCTGATTGGCTGTCAATGTTTTTATTGTTCACCAGCTGGGAAAAAAATTGTGGTTTCCAATGATATTGTTCATCTGTTGTCACCATTATAGCTTTGGTGTGGACATCTGTTTTCTCATAAAATTAGGACGTTTATTAAAACTTTACAATTATAGGTACAGTTTAGGCCCTTTAGAATTTTTGCTTAAAAGAAGGTATAATGTGTGCAACTTGACTTTTTGATTATGCATATATAATAACTAAATTTGTTTAGAATTTAAAAGAGAATGCTACAGTGATCATGTGTTAACATGATAAACATGCAATCATTATTTGGACTAAAACGTCTTAAGCACTCAAAGAAATCACTTGACAGACATTGTCGCTATGGCTTTAAGCTCGTCACACACTCAAAAAGCGCATGCGAATTTTCTCCAGCATAGGTACAGGTGGGCTGGTTCTCTATCACACACACTTACACAATCCAGCCTCTACGAGTTTGTGTGCAGTCCTGCACTCAGGTGGAAACTTCAAAGCACGCTACACTCTCACAGCAACAGACACAGAGCAGGTAGGCACCATCCACATTCTCAGTCTGTTTATTTATTCACCAGAAAGGGCAAATCACAGCTGTCCTGTGAGAAGAAATAACAGTGTTTGTGAGAACAATGCTTGTAGATCATGACAAATTACTTGAGTTAAAATTATTGTAAAACTAAATTACACAGATCCAGAGTCTTAAAGGGATAGTTCACCCAAAAATGAAAATTTGATGTTTATCTGCTTACCCCCAGGGCATCCAAGATGTAGGTGACTTTGTTTCTTCAGTAGAACACAAACAAAGATTTTTAACTCAAACCGTTTCAGTCCGTCAGTCTTATAATGGAAGTGAATGGGAATCACGGCTTTAAGAATAAAAAAAAAAACATACACAAACAAAACCAAATTAAACCCTGCTTAAGTTTGCATGGGTGGTTTTTTAAAGGACACGGGGTGGACAACAATTTGAGTCTAGTCCTAAAGATCAGTCATCCGCCTCCCAAGTTATTCCCATGCTATTCCTTGTTTCCTGCTGCTGTCAGACACAGATCAGAAAAGAGGCATGTGAGAAGCGATAAACCTATTCTGCTAAGTTTTAAGGCGTTAGAGGAAGGGCTGAGCCAGGATATGGGTGACACTCGAGCTGCTTTGGGGAGGACAAGTCTCAAGCTTTAAATGGGTGCGCAAAAGGTGTCTGAGAGAACATGCTGTAATCTAAGAAAACAATGGACTCAAATGACCCACAAGTACAATAAAAGTTTTTTTCCATCTACTCTGTTTCATAAATAAAGATAGATTTAAATGTTATAAATTAACCACAAATATTATTTGTCGAACATAATTAGTGATGTATGAATTGAGCCATTAAGAATTTGTTACAAGCGAAAATGCATGCTGCTCAACTTGTATATACTGTCTTAGGGAATTTTCTTGGAACGTCTAAACAGCTGACACAGCACAAAACTCAATGTTGCATAAATAGTCCATGCTAATTTGTTTCTATTAATCTTAAACTTACAAAGTACTGTTGTCACGTATTCCAGGGACATTAAAAATGTCAACATCTCTGTTTTTGATGTGTGCTTCGGGGCAAAGATTAACGGAGCTTGGCTACCATGGTACTCATGCTAGTAATAAAGTAGCACTTTAAGCATATTGTAATGCGGGAAAGTCCTTACAAGGTGACAGCTTAGTCCTCATCTCAATTCCTCTTTAATCTCTGTGATTTAACTAACATGACTGTGAAAACAATTCAATAAACCAAAGTGTACCACACCTGTAACCTGCACGTGCCATCTTCCAAGATCTTTGCACAGATTAAAAGCTTTACATAACATTAAACTTTGCTCAACACAGTCTGGTGCTCTGATCCACAGGAGCTTGTGATGGAACGGGTAAAACATTAGCCAAATAAAGTGCCTCTAACTTCCTGGGAACCAAGAAATTGAAGGTCATCATTATGGGTGAGACAGGGCATAGGGCAAAGAAGTTCTGCTCCCCACATACCGGGTGGTTTCGTGCGACTGAACACTGTGTATCTGCATGGACGTTATTTGCTTTAAGTGGGCATGTAATGGTCTTGTAAAGCCCTCGAGCAGTGCAGGAAACATAGCAGAGGTAAGCTGTACTAGGACTTTGACATTCAGAACATTGCCATATGTCCCACATGAGCAGTTTATGCATACCACCTTCCCCTTTAGCTGATTGTGAGTGAAAGAATCAATCTGAAAGGAGTAAAAGACACAAGCATCCATTTAGAAGGCAATGCAGTATGAACACGTCCTGTCGCACTTCTGAAGAAACTGCATTTCTGAATTCTTTAGACTAGTATACTTCAGCGTGATATTGACTGGGTTTCTAATGTTCTGTCTAAACCCAGAGCAATGTGCTCCCTGACAGTCAAAAATAGTTCGCAGACCAGAGACACTATCATTGATGCAGGCAGCATTTCAATATTTAGTACACAAAGAAATGTATCTCTGAATTACTGTGTCGGTCAGGTCAAAACAAAAAACAAAGCAAAGAAGGGGCATATTTAGCTTTCAAAGACACAAACTTGTGCCACAATGATTTTATAAAACATTGGCATCCTTTACCTGACCACATGATCTGGTACCGGTGTTTGTCTTGGAAACGGTCGTCTGAAGGACAGGGCAAAATTACACCATTTTAGTATGCACTTTGTTTAAATCTTTGTCCTTCCATTCACATTGTTTGACACAAGAAGTGGCCTGTACAGTAAATTGAGAAAATGTTTATGCAAGCGCAAGATTCAGTTTTTGAGAAGCTGGTTCTGTTTCCTCAGGAACTTGACCACCAACTGATTCATCATTATATGAAATTGTGACTGTGCATTAAAGGGATAGTTCACCCAAAAATGAAAAGTACTGTATGTCATCATTTACTCACCCTTGTGTCATGGCATGACCATTTGAATGCAATTATACTGAAGAGGGACTTACGCTTTCCAGTTTAAAAAAGGATGCAAAAGGAGCACAGAACGTTAGAAAATTAACCAGGGCATTCTTCAGAATTTTTCCCTTTATATTCCGCAGAAGAAAGAACATCATGCAGGTTGAAAAGGGCTCATGATGACAGAATGTTTGATGTGAACTATTTTAGGGCTCTAAACTGTGAAAAATCACCCTGGAGTCAGTACTAATTGAGTAATCTAAAGAGGCCATTGTAAATGTCTTTGCAAACATTCTTTGTGGGACACAGTACAGGGTTTATGCATGATGATTGTCATTAAGAAATATTTGGCATGACGGGAATTGATGATGTGTGTAATTTGGAACGTTCATAATACAGATACTGCTTTGTGAGCCAATCTGATGCTCTAAACATCACAACATGGGCTAAAAACAGACTGTAAAACTCACAGGTCAGTAGTCATGCTTTCAAGTTTACTATCAAATAAACCCATGGCTCAAAACAATCAGTTCTTTATGGTTAGCAATTTGGGCAAATGTACACTGAAAAATCTAAATCATAAATTGTAAATTGTAACCTGTTTTGCTGGTCATACATGCACAATGGCCATGAAATGTCACTTTTTTTGGAGCAAGACTGCAAAATTATGATGTGAAATGTCATTTTTTAAGGCATTTTTTTATTAGTTTAATATGCGGAGAAAACTATAAGTATCCATTGGTAGGATGATGCATAGAAATTGCACGTTTCACATATAAGGACTGAAGCAATAACTATATAATAGCAAATAAATAGTGGAAATTGAGTTTGCACAGCTGCAATTGCATTAACATAAGGCAATCTGCACTGTTTTTTCACACAAATATTGGAGACAAAACCACAGGGCCTCTTCTGTTTGTATCCAATAGTTGACGAGAAAAGATAATTGGATGATACTTTGACTATTTCACATGATTACAGAAATATCAATCCATAATCTGGCAAAAACATGCATGGCTCTGTGTCCAGAGGAAATGGACACCAGTTCAGCCAGTATGGCTGGGTGGGAGTAGCAATAAGTGGAGAAGATGCTTACAGTGGTTTGGCCATAAAAGATTAGTCTACTGCCAAAGGTTCTCCCGATGGGAAGCTTCCATTCCCTTTTCATTTACCTTCTCAGGGCATTGCAGTTCAGATATGCTTCCTTTAATGGTTAATGGAGAAAACACAAGACTCCAACCAGATAACAGCTACTTGCTATCCTGGCTGAGCCACTCACCCTGCAGTAAGAAAACAGAGCTCTTTTATCAGTGCGGAAATCAGCTAATGTTTTCTGAAGAACAAAGATCATTTAAGTAATACTTTACTAAAAATGAACATTCTGTGGTCATTTACTTATCCTCATGTTGGTCCGAACCTATATGACTTTGCTACAATTGTGAAACACAAATAGAGAAATTCTGAATAATATCCTAGTCACTGATTTAATTACAATAAAGTTGGTCTCAAGCTTTAAAACTTCAAAAAGGATGCAAAAACACCATGGAAGTATCATAAAAGTAGTCTATACAAGCACTATATTCCTAATTTTCTTAAAGGTGCAATATGTAAGATTTTTTTATTAAAATATCCAAAAACCACTAGAACAGTGTTATATATTTTGCTGACTTGTGTACTTACATTATCTCGAATGTTTCAAAGAATGTTTAAATCCAGAGAAATAAGCAATTTCAACTAGTGACACGGACCGTATTTATAGTGTCATTGTGTCGCCTGCCAATGACGTCATACACCCTCGATTTCCGGTTTTGTTTTGTAGAAAACATAGAAACACCAAACACGCTTTAATATGTTGTGAGTTTTATTAGACAGGTGACAACCGCACAGAGTAGCATTATAACAGAACTTTCAAATGTATCTAGTATGATAAAACAGCGCTGCTTTACCCCACATACGCACGACCGGAAGGAGCGGAAGCGCTAAAGTGTGGCATAATAAAAGCTCCGCGGCTTTCGAGCCATGTGTCACTCTCGTCTCTCATTAACAATTGCTTCAGCGGCCTCGTTTCGCTTCGACGGCTTTCCGCCTCACTCTGCTTCATACTGTGATGTTAATAAATCTTTAATACATTAGCTCATCCATGAGCATGATTTCTGCCTGAGTCCCATCGGATTGAGTCGGCTGTGGGGATGAAGACGACAACTCCCATGATTCCACGCTCAGTCACGGCGTCATCAAACTACGCCTTTGTTTCTTTATTTGTTTTGAATACACACCCTCTAGCGGTGAAAACTTACGTATTGTACCTTTAAGTCATATCATAGCGTTGTGTGAGAAATGTGCCAAAATGTCAATTTTTGTTATTCAACAACTAGTTTTGGGTGAGCTATTCCATAAAGAGGAGTCAATTTGACCAAAACGTAAATATTAGATGGAACCACAGAAAACAAATTACATTCCTAAAACTTAAAAGCTGAATGTTGGCAATGTGAAGCGCCATAAAAACCCCTTGTACTTCCGTAATATAAAGTATTTGTGAAAGTGGATATTCATCAAGACAAAACTAGTAGGGCAAGACTTTATGTTATCCATCAGGAACGGATTATATCATGAAAAGTGGATGTTACAGTACATACCAGAACGGAGGTGGTCGGAGGTCAAGGATTGAAATAAGAGGTACTGGTGACATCATCTGAAAAGGAAAGTTGTGGCAAAGCAGATTATTACATTTTGATATAATAACACAAAGATTTTTGTTTTGAATAACATGCAAAATTCTTTAATTTGAAATTATTTAATGTCAATTTAAATGTACATTTCTACACCCCTGAAGAATCTCTTTCTGAAGAGTCTTTTTGAAAGCTTCACAGTAGCAAATCACAAAATTAGTGGAGGTGAGACAACACAGCTAATGATGAATGAACAGCACGGGATTTAAATTACACTCAGAACTTACAGTAAATTTCGTATAAGCACATGTAAGAATTACTCAGCAAACCAAAGCCAAACTTATCAAGAGAAAGGAACTAAAAAAGGCAACCGAGAATTGAAGATATTAGATTTCTCTATGCACAACTGCTACACAATGCGGTTACGTTTCTAAGAATCCCACAAACTGGAAAGATTACAGTGGTTTGTTGCAATGAGGATTGCATCTCCAGGCAACCAATCTATTATGATAAACTGTATTGTCACTGGGCAAATGGAACTCTGAAAAAAAAAAAATCACCAATGATAAACATTCCCAGATTGCCATCTTAAAATAGAACTGGGAAGTCAAAAAGTACCAGTCAAACCAACATCCGACAAAAATTCTGATGAAACACATGAATAAAGTTCTAACAAAAAAAATCAACCACTGGAAAAAATATAGAACAATTTCTCTCTTCTTCTTTCTATTACTTTCTATTATTCCCACAGTATGGCCTATTCGTTGGTTCGTGTCCATAGACAAGTAACAGAGACAAACAAAAGTAAGATAATTCCATTGATCGGCAAGATTTTTTTCACTGACGGTAAATGCGAATTAAAAAGTAGCAAGAAAATGCAGAAGCCAGTACCTGTTGAGTTGAAGGTCACATGGCCCCCAGACAACAATACTTTCAAGGGAACATGCCAGCATTTCATTAATTTGTTTTATACTTGGAAATGTACACACCACACAGGAAAGTGACAATGGAAACTGAATTCCTCATCTAAAATAGTGTGTTCCCTTAACACTGAAAAACACTCCATTTATGCGGTGTTCTTGAATGGAGGCTATGTTTCCAGTGCTCAGCTGGAAGTAAATCCTTTGATAAAGGACAGGGACAAATTTAAATCAAAGACGCCAGGAATTCATGCTAAGACAAGGAACATGAAGTGTGTGAGGAGTAATTATAAGACGTTGCTATCATGGTGGTGTGGAAAACTTCATAATTTTTGTGCGTCTATGTGGTTAAGCGTGCGAGAGTGTCTGTGAGAAAGCATGTGGTTGTGTGTGTTTTTTTTTTTTTTTTACCATGGGCAAAGTTAGTTTGGTCATCATTACCAGCAAATATGTATTAACACTAGGGCTGCAACAAACGATTATTTTGATAATCGATGAATCTAACGATTATTAGAATGAATTATCAACTAATCGTCGATTATTTCACTGATTAAACGCGGTTTGACCAGACCTGCAGACCTGCACCCGCGGGACCCAACGCAACAGGGTGCGGCGCGGGACAACTCTTGATGGGCGAGTGCGGGTGCGGGCGGAAAGAGACTCGTGTGTGTGCGGGATGCGGGGGAATAATATGATTCCCGGAATTCATGCTAAGACAAGGAACATGAAGTGTGTGAGGAGTAATTATAAGACGTTGCTATCATGGTGGTGTGGAAAACTTCATAATTTTTGTGCGTCTATGTGGTTAAGCGTGCGAGAGTGTCTGTGAGAAAGCATGTGGTTGTGTGTGTTTTTTTTTTTTTTTTACCATGGGCAAAGTTAGTTTGGTCATCATTACCAGCAAATATGTATTAACACTAGGGCTGCAACAAACGATTATTTTGATAATCGATGAATCTAACGATTATTAGAATGAATTATCAACTAATCGTCGATTATTTCACTGATTAAACGCGGTTTGACCAGACCTGCAGACCTGCACCCGCGGGACCCAACGCAACAGGGTGCGGCGCGGGACAACTCTTGATGGGCGAGTGCGGGTGCGGGCGGAAAGAGACTCGTGTGTGTGCGGGATGCGGGAGAATAATATGATTCACGGGACTCCCGCAAAATAGAAATTATCTAAACATAAAATGTCTAAAACATATAAATTGTTATTTATGTGTTGCACAAAAGCAAAAAGAACAGCTAATAACATTAAAATGATTAACGCGCAAGCTAGGCAGAGTTTCTATTTATAACACGTGTTTAAAGGGTTGCGCAATGTAGCCAATCACAGACTCAGCTGTTTCTGGAACGCAATGGCCAATCAGAGGTGATTAAGTTCCACTCACGGCAGTGCTGAAATTTGTGTCAACGCTAAACAGAAACACCCCATTGTGGACTTTCCCCTCTTGATCAAGATGATGTACAGGCTTTTGTTTGCAGTTTTACACACGAGCGCAAACACAAACACTCATGCATATAAAACGCACACATAACATTTGTGAATGAGAGGCAGTGTTAATTAGGGCTGAAACGATTAGTCGACATTATCGACAACGTCGACAATAAAAAATGGTCGACAAATATTTTTGTTGTCCAGTAGTTGTTTGATCTCATATGACCTAATGTAAGAGCCTGCAATAACGCGGTTTGACCAGTGTGGTGCTGTAGCGCAAGACTGTAATTCAGCTCTCCTGATGCAAGTCAAGAGAAGAAGACAGCGCTTCAGAGTAGAGACCTGCAGACCTGCACCCGCGGGACCCAACGCAACAGGGTGCGGCGCGGGACAACTCTTGATGGGCGAGTGCGGGTGCGGGCGGAAAGAGACTCGTGTGTGTGCGGGATGCGGGAGAATAATATGATTCACGGGACTCCCGCAAAATAGAAATTATCTAAACATAAAATGTCTAAAACATATAAATTGTTATTTATGTGTTGCACAAAAGCAAAAAGAACAACTAATAAGATTAAAATGATTAACACGCGCAAGATAGGCAGAGTTTCAATTTATAACACCTGTTTAAAGGGTTGCGCAATGTAGCCAATCACAGACTCAGCTGTTGATTTCTGGAACGCAATGACCAATCAGAGGTGATTAAGTTAGAATC